CGCCGGTGACCATGGTCACCCGCCGGCGTGCGTGCGTAGAGCGTTTTGCATTGTTTGGAATAGAAAAGTGGCCATGTTGGGCTTGAAACTCAAGTGAACACTGAACGGTGGCCGAGTGGATTTCCAAGTTATCATGGGTTTTCTCGTATGTCTTGTAGCGTGGACACCGCAGAAGGCACCACGCGCGCTGACGCGCGCGGGTTACCATGGTCACCCGCCAGCGTGCGCGTGCAGAGCGTCGTGTATCTCCTGAAATAGAAAACCGTCATTTTGGCTTGGAAACTAAAGTGATCACTTGGCGGTCACCGCAATTTGTCGTTGTCGTCGTCGTCTTTGTCGCCCCGATCCACTCCTTCTGGCGAAGATGCACAGGGGAATCTGTGCTGATTTATGAAGTGACCCACCCTGGGGGCCCCCGCCAGCTTCGGGAAAGCCTTTCGCCTTTCACCCGCCTGCGATGTTTCTTGAAACCATCCCCTCGGGGCCGCCGCCAGCTTTCGGGGAAACCCGTTTCGCATTTCGACCTTTCGATGTTTTAGGTGAACCCACCCCCGGCCGACGTGTCGTGGAGAAGGGTCGATTTGGGCAACATATTAACTACCCTTCCTGGGCAGCGGAGCTGGGGAAGGGTCCCAACATGTCTCGTAAGTGTGTCGCATTTCAAATTCGACCCGTTCTTCAGAGCCCAGATTTGCTGGGAATGAGGACGATACACTATCTCGACCCCCTCCTCGTTAGACCACTCACGCCCTAAAGGGCTGATGGGAATAGACTCGGCCCGTCGGATCCCGAGTCGAGCCCTCTTGGGGCCTCTAAGGGTCCGCTTGGGAGATCTAGGTGGCGATATTGGAACCATTTTGGAAACCTCGGAAACCCATCGCAGGCGAAAAGGTCCGACAGCACACATAATTTAAACACCTCAGGTGTTGAAATGATGTTAGCCTCTCGGGGGTATCACTGGGAGGCTCGGAGGCAACTTAAAGCCGTCTTGGGCAGTTTGGGGAGCCTCCTGGAGGCATGGCGGAAGCAATATCAGTCAATAGGGGAGGTCATCTTGATTTATGTGAGGCCATTTTGAGCCCTCTTGGGCCAAAAAGGGACATCCTTTCTGACACCTCGCAAAAGGGGGGCAGACCCAAGGGAAGGGGGTTACGGGGGGGGGTAACCACAAGTCGCAGGCCGTTTCGCTTACTCCCACCCGCCCTCCCAAACGTAAGTGATGTAAGTACCACCGAGTCTCTTCGTGGGCAGGGGCCGCCATGGACAACCATCGGACACCAATGCAGACGCCAGCCAGGTATGCAACGCCCGCGAGGCGCGCCGCGCGTGCCAGGGCACCACCAGCATCCGTGCCAAGGCAAAACCGTCGCGGGGCACCCGCGCATGGCCCAGCGCACGACTCAGGATGTTGCCGCAACTGCACTTCGCGGTTTTGGAACGGGACGGTGGGCCCGCACACGCGGGGCAACACGACAGCACCCCCGCCGTCCTTGGCGGCATGATGGCCAGCACTGCTGATAGCGCTCCCGCCGTCCCTGCCATCATGAGTGCTATCGCGGGGGCTGTAGTATTTGGGGTCGGGACGGTGGGGGGGGGACAATCGGCATTGGTCCTGGCTACAACACCCCCACCGTGAACCTGCTGCCATGGCCAGGCCGTGGTCAGCATACGCACCTGCCTTCTGCGCGTGCCAGCTCGGTGCAAGTGGGGGCGGCTTTATTATACGTATGCGCGACATGCGGCTGTGGATGCTGAGCATGCATGCTCAGCATCCACAGCCGCATGTCGCGCGTGCCAGGCCAGCGCCACTGGGGCCGGCAATAGGTAACAACTCGGCAGCAGGTTAATCTTAAATGCACTGGGCCCATTGCAGGTGGGGGCGGCTGCAGGTTCACGAGGGGGGGGGGGTTGTAGGAGCTGGTGGAGTGGGGGGAGGGGGGGGAACATTCAGGAGGAGCAGTGATCCAGCTACCCCGGAAGGGCGGTCGTTTTTTGGGGGAAAGAAGAATGACATAAACATAAAAACGCGAAGGTCCGCGCGGATTTCTCGGATCGGCGCTGGGGCCCCCTGGCGGCGCCTCCGGCGCCGCCCTTGGCGCGCTCCGCGCGCCAGGGAGGGGGGTCCAGCGCGGATCCAAGAAATCCGCGCGGACCTCTGAGTTGTTATGTTCATGCCATTCTTCGTTCCCCTCAGCCTCGCCCACTCCTCCTCACCCACCCCGCCACCACAGAAGCGGCACTCGAGTCGCAGCAGCGGCAAGGGGGTCGCCGCTGACTGGACGGACAGCCACCTGGAAAGTCGAAGCGGGCGCCTTGGGTGCGCGACGCTCGCGCGAGGTGCGCCAGGTGCGCCGATGGGCTCGCCGTGCTCTGAGTGAGATCCGACGCTGCGCAACGAATCGAACATCGCGAAGAATCGCGACCAGAGCCCTGGACTTAAGTCGGCATGTTCCTCTCCAGGAGGAAGGCTCGAGAATAGGCACAAATTTTTGGGGTCTTTTTAATTTTTCGTTCAAGCTCCGCCTGTAAGGGGACTCGCCCGAACCCTACACCACCTTCATGCAGCACGTGTCGAACGGATCGACTTGTGCTGGCCTTGGGGCCCGAAACCGGGCTCAGCATCCGCGCAGCCCTTTTGGCTCAGGCCAGTGGCCGCGAGCACCAGGTCGACTAGACGTGAGCGTCACCCTCCGCCGGAGTGACCGTTGGTGCGGGCTCACCAGGGTGCCCCCGATCGCCGAGCGCGAGGCAGTGACCGACCGCCCAGGATATCAAAGTATACCACCACCCCCCTAACCCCTGAACGTTTAATATCCCCGGTCAATGCAGATTTGGTCGGGGAAGAGGCGCGGCAAGGCCGAACTTTATTATCGCATGGGAAAGTTGCGAATCGAAGTTGTTATCTTCTTATGTCTAGCAGCAAGGGTTCCTAAGGATTCCTATGGATGTCCTAAGGATTCCTATGGATGTCCTTAGGAATCCGATGGCTTTCCTCAGGATTCCTATGGATTTCCTGAAGAATCCGATGAATGTCCTAAGGAATCCGATGGATTTCCTAAGGGATCCGATGGATTTCCTAAGGAATCCGATGGATGTCCTGAGGAATCCGATGTATTTCCTAAGGAGGCCTAAGGATTTCCTGCGGAATCCGATGGATTCCCGAAGGAATCCGAACGATTTCCTAAGGATGCCTGTTGAGCGTTCAGGAGAGCGTTCAGGATCATCTTTATCATCACCATCGTCATCATCTTCGTCATTATGCTGAGATCTCGGGGAAAACGTTGATTATCCCCCCTGGACCCCGAACTTTATCATCCCATGGGGATTAACATCAGGGGCGGCCGGTCAATGGCCGCCTGCGCGCTTGGATTTGGCCACCCTGCGTCCCTTTAATCCGCGCGCTGAAGGTCACTCCTGCCCAGGGTCACTCTGGCGTGTAGCCAGACCAGACCGGCCGCCCCCGCCTCGGCGATCCCATGGGGTCCCGGGTCCCGGCGGACCCCGGCGCAGCGGAGCAGGTGCCGCGAGTGGAGGCCGATGGCGCCGCGCGGGGGCAGCCCCTGCCGGTAGGGTGCGCCGTGCGCCTGGTGGGGCTGACGAAGGGCGGCTGCAGGGGGCTCAACCACCACATCTCGAGGAAGGGAGAGTGGCATGGGCATCGTGCGGTCGACGGGATCTATGCGGATTTCGGAAACCCTGAACCCAACAACGTTTCCATTTCTTGGGGGCACATCTTTTACTTCCGCCGCCTTTCCGCCGAGCTTCCGCGAGCTTCCGCCGGCGGAGGCGGCCTCGTTTTGCTTCCGCCGACCTTCCGCCGCCTTCCGCCGAGGAAGCGATGGCAACTTCTGCGATCCTCGAAGGCAAGGCCCTTCCTGGAACGCCTATATCCACCTCCGCTGGCCAGGCTCATCCTGGGCCCAAGAGCAGGGTGTATGCCTCCTTGGCCATTCGGAGGCCTGCGCGGATGTCTTGGATCGGCGCTGGGCCCCCTTGGCGGCGCCTCCAGCAAAGCCGCTGGCGCGCTCCGCGCCCCAGGGGAGGGGGGAGTCCAGCGCATCACCACCCACCACCACCCCAACCCAACCCGAAGGCCCCAAGTTGCCCTCCATTCCCAGCCAGGGGGGGGGGGGCGTCGGGGAACATTGAAGAAACACATCTGGAACCCGTACCCCCCCGACCCGAAAGTCGGGTCTTCGGGTTCGGTTTGGGTGGTCTGGTGGGGAGTCCCACATCCAATGAACCCGCGCGGGCTCCTGCTCCGAGGCGGAAATTTATATATGACCACCGCCTGGAGGGTCAGTCTTCGGAGCCTCGGCAGGCGGTGGATATGGACAGATTCGGGCCCTCGGCGGCCGAAATATATCCATATCCACCGCCCGCTGGGGCCCCAGGGCGTCGGTTCCCAGGCGGTGGATATGGATAACTCCCCGCTTCGCACCCGCAGGTTCCCGAGCCGCTGTCCCTCCGCCACTGTGCCTCTCCGCTCGCTTGCACCCCGGGCACTCGCTCGGTCCCGCCTGATGCCCGGGAGCTGCCGCCGGGCCGAGGCATCAGACCGAGGCCGGCTCGGGGAGGGCACCCCGATGTTCTTCGTGCTTGTTGGCTGCTCTTGTGCATCTCGGGGAGGGTATACCCATTGGATGTTCTGCGTGCTCCGGCCAGCAGAGGGTCTCATATGTTCTCGAAGGATGCTCTTCTGACCTGGGTCCGACTGCAACGACTGGCTCCAAGCCACGTCCAAAGCAAAAATCCGCAACGCGATCGTTTTTTTATTCATTGTTTTGCCGATCGGCGCGGTCCCTCGCACCCCCCCTCCCCCCCCCTGGAGTGGATCTTGGCTGTCTTTTGGCGCCCGTTTCGAGCGGGTGGAGTCTCCCCAAGAGGCAGCACTCTTGCAAGCAGTCGCACTAAGCAGAGGTCTGGAGCCAGACACCCCCCCCCTCCCCCCCCCTTCCTACCCATGTCGAAAAGCCGAATAAGAACACGCTCACAACCTCATGCCCACGCCGCTCTCTCTCCCTCCAGCGTCGGCCGCGTCCTCCCGGCCGACGCCGGGCCCGAGCGCCTGGCAGTGGCCCTCCACGGCGTGCTCTGGCCGGAGGAGCGGGACCTGCCGGGCAGGCACCAGTCGGGCGGGTGGCGATGGGGTCGAGGCCTCTTAGATGGGGTCGGAGCAGCTGGGGTCGGAGGATCGCGCCGTATCGGCGATGCATCGCCGATGCGGCTCGATGCGGAGCCCGATTTGCTTCACGTCGACGTCGCCGATGCATCGCCCACGTCGACGATGCATCGCCGGCGCATGTCGCCGATGTATCGGCGATGCGGCGCGATCTTCCGACCCCATCTACTCTGACCCCATCTAGGATGCCTCTATGGGGGGTGACCTCTAAAAAAAGGGGAGTGTAGAACACAGGGGCCCTGAAGGAGCCCGTCGGGGCCCTTCTGGGAGCCAGTAAGGGTCCCTAAATAGAGGGCTCCTTTACGAGGCCCTTTTTTCTCTACCTCCCCCCCCTGGAGGTCACCTCCCCCCCATGGCCGCCCTCCCGAACCAGCCGATCTCTGTGCGGCCTTCGAACCTGCGCCTGGTCCGCCTCCCCGAGGCCGGCGCGCTCGCGCCGGCTGCGGGCTGCGTGCCCGGCGCCGCCGTGGTGCGTCTGCTGGGCGAGGCCGGGTGGGGCCTGCCAGACATGCCGATGATGCCCGGGAGGTGGGTCGGCGGTGCTTGTAAGTCGGGCATGCCCGACCTGGGGCTGCGCGTGTGAGAAAGGCAGCTATCGGGTTGGAATCTGTATGCAGCGTGGCGGGCGCTCTCTGGCCACACGTGTCGGAAAACGGTATACTACAGGGTGATGGGTCTACTAGGTGTTCGGGTCGGAAGCGCGCCTCCAAGGAGGACATATAGTGCTAGTATGTCTCTGTGCTCCCATGGCAGCAGGCGGTTGGGGGACATCACCAGATCAACCGCATCATCGAGTACGTTGACAGTGTCTATGTCACAGTCGCACCCTGCACCTTCTCAGCTCCTTCCTCCCAACACGATGATTGTTTTTCTGCAGACGCAAGAACCAGGGGCAACCATGGGGGGGATAGGCATAGCGGGGGACGCATCGGCTCCCAATCGCCCATTGATCGCCGATAGGAGTCTGACAGCCCCAACCCGCCCAGGAAGGTGCGGATTCATTATCAGGGGCCTATCGCCGATCTATCGGCGATGTATCGCCGATTCCAGGTCGATGCATCCCCCCTGTGCCAGTCCCCTCCTACCGTTGCCCCTCAAAGAATGACCCCTCGCCGGAGTGGCCTTTGGTGCGTGGCTTTCGGGCAGCTCGGGGGGGGGGGGGGGCCAGAGCCCACGCACGCACGCTGCTGCTGGTGCACCGCACGCCACCGTCCGCAAGCCGCGCACCAAAGGTCACGTATTGCCCAGGGTCACTTCTGCGTGCAGCCGGGCGTGTTGCCTGAGATCCTTCCCTGTCCCGCCACCTCCTCCTCCTCTCGGCCGTCGCTCCGTCGTCTTCTTCTCCCCTCCTGCATGGTGGCGCAGTGCGCTCAACGGCAGCCCCGTGCCGCTGCCTCGCCGGCGCAGTGACTCCGCCCAGCCGCCGACGAGGAAGAAAGTTGCCCGAGATCCCGGCGCTGCACTTTGCTCGCAGCAGGCGCTGTCGCCCGGCTGCGGGCCCCAGGGCCGTCAGAGGTCGATCCCGTCCGAAAGAGGGGGCAGAAGGGATGGGGTCTGGGGTTGTGGAAGTTGATTCATGGAGAGGAAGCATGTTGCAAAATGATTTCCAGATGTCTAAAACATGTGCTAAACATGTTTTAAACATGTAACCATGTTTAGAACATGATCCGACATTTTAAGCATATTTTAAATTCAATGATAGGACTGTTAGGGTGTCCATTGTCATGGCATCAACAAGTCTAGGGCCCTGGTCGAATTTTGTTCGCGACGTTCCCCAATCAGTGCTTGCATTTGACGGGGTCCTGGCGGGAGTTGACAGATTTGACGGAAGTTTCCCGCCGATTTTGGTGGCCGGCTGGGTTCCCGGGTTCCCGGTTCCGGGTTCCCGGGTTCCTGGTTTTTGGTTCCGGGCCGATTTCGGTGGGTTCTGGGTTCCCGGGTTCCCGGTCGATCTCTTTATCGATACCATTTCAAACCATCCATTGATTGGGTCCTTTCTTTGGTGTAATTGTGTTTTGGTTCGCAACGTGCGATCTCAGGGTAGCCCAGTCTGTGCTTACCCCGCTCAGCTCCGCTCGCGTCGGCCCTCGCTCAAACCGCCCGCATCGTATTGAGGGGCTCATGTGGACAAGCACACGCTGGCGCTAACACTCGGCGGCGAGCGAGGGGAGGAAGTGAGAAGAGCAGACCTTCTCAGAAGGCTCGGAAGTCCCCCGGCCTTTGAGAAATTCTTAGCTCTCCCCGAAGTCACGGAAAAGGATTCAGAATGCGCGAGGGTTTTTGAGAAGTCCCGCCGCCTTCTGAGAAGGCTTTCTCCTTCTCACTTCCCCCCTCGCTCGCCGCCGAAACACACGCTCTGAGCATCATCGAACTTCGCCGTGAAGACCGTGGAGGCCCTCCTGCAGGTCCGCCAGGTGGCCGCGCAGGAGGTGTCGGTGGCGGGCTGCTCCTCCTCGCGCGGAGACTTCCCGCTCTCGGCGGTCCTCGGGGAGAGGCGGGACCAGTGGTGGATATCCGAGTGGCCTTTGGCCCATCCCGCCATCGTCGGCGTCGTCTTCGGCGTCGTCGCGTCATCGTCGTCGTCGTCGTCGTCGTCCTCGCCGTCATCGTCGTCGTCGTCGTCGTCGTCGTCGTCGTCGTCGTCGTCGTCGTCGTCGTCCTCGCCGTCGTCGTCGTCCTCGCCGTCGTCGTCGTCGTCGTCGTCGGCGTCGTCGGCGTCGTCGGCGTCGTCGTCTCCGCCGAGGGCCGCCGAGGCTGGCGGCCGAGGGCCGGCCGCCGAGGCGCGCCACGACGGCGGTTGCAGCGCCGCTCCCGGCTTGCAGCGCAGGGGCCTCGTGGATTCGGAGGGGCTCCCCCCAAAGAAGGCGTGCAGTTCAAAGACCTATGCCGAGAAGCACCCTGCTCGCCTCCAGGGTGCCCCATGGGTTTCTCGGGTCTCGATAGTTTCGATGGTTTTGCGATGGAGAGCGTGACGTTCCCATGCCAGAAATTAGTGGGCGTCCTGGGGTATCAGGGTTGGGTTTCTTGTGGAAGGTTTCTTGTGGTCGAGCTCCTACTTTAGACATGAATTTTCGGAGGTCCGCGCGGATTTCCTGGATCTGCGCTGGGCCCCACTCTTTGTGGGGATCCCTCTTGGGCGAGGCCCCATCGGAGGCCTCTCGCAGGCGGTTTTGCGGCGGGGGCGTCTTGGGAATCTCTTGGGGGCGGATCTGGGTCCGTTGGGGAGGGACCCTCCGGGACCTGAGTACACTCCACTACGTGCCTCACGGCACGGTGGCGGATCTGCGCCAGGCAGTACGCCCCAGGGCGTTGGCTGCGAGCACCTGGAGTTCTCCTTCGGCAGCGTGCCCCGGCGGATCGGCTTCGTAGGCGTCCGCATACCGCCGCTGCCGCAGGGGCCGCTGTCCGTGAGGGACTTCCACCTGCTCACCCGCAGGCAGGACGGTACCTGGGAGGCCTCGGCGCAGGGCACGCTGAGGACGCTCGACAGGGCGGACATGCAGGAGTTCGCGATCGTGCCGCCCCTGCAGACCACCGGGGTGCGCCTGGTGTGCACCCGCAGCGCTGTGGCGGACGAGGGCGGCGGCTTCATGTCAGACTGCATAGGCCTCTTCCACGTCCGCTTCGCGTGAGAGCTGGGAGGCGCTGAGCGCGCCCCCAGCTGAGCACTGATTCCCGCCTGGGCTTGCCAGAGCTTCGCGTTCTCGCCCTTCCGGGCTTCCGACAGCCCAGGACGGTCCCGCCACCGCCGGCCAGCGAGCGGAGGCTGCCGAGGGCCTCGGCGGCGCCCTGGCGAACAAAAAGATCTTCCGACGGGAGGACCCCGCATGAGAAGCTCCGTAGCGTGAGGCAGGATCATCCTCACCGACGACTCATGATGGTGATGATGCCAAGATGCGAGGATCACCAGCATACGCCGTGTGGGACCTTTGAGGCCTGTGGGGTCCGTGGGAGCTGTGCGACCTGTGGGAATCGTTTGACCCACGGGCCCCATCGGGAGGGATGCACTTACAGACGAGGCCCCCGCTCGAGACCTCCTCACGGTTTGCCCCATTGGGGTGCTCAAGTGTTATGCCTGCTGCAGTAAGGCAATGGTCCGCTCGGATTACTAACATGATCTGTGGGCCCCCTAGGGGGGGGATCCCGCCTGATATGTCTTCGCTCTTCACTTACAGACGAGACCCCCCCGCCTGAGACTTCCTCCAGACCCAAGCTTGAGGAGGCCAAAGGTGACGACAATTCAGGTACTCCGATGACCCGCTCGGGTGACTAAGATGAGCTGCGGGCCCTATAGGAAGGGGGCTCCCGCGTGAGACTTCCTCGCGATTCACTCACAGACGAGTATCCCGCTCGAGATTTCCTGAAATTGAATGCGTGGGTGTATGAATGGAGGCGGAAGCATGTGTGGTGATGATGATGCTGCTGCTGATGATGATGATGATGATGATGATGATTATGATTATGATGATGATGATGATGATGATGATGATGATGATGATGATGATGATGATGATGATGATGATGATGATGTTGATGATGTTGATGGTGATGATGATGGTGATGGTGATGATGATGATGATGATGTTGATGATGTTGATGGTGATGATGATGATGATGATGATGATGATGATGATGATGATGATGATGATGATGATGAGTATGTGAGTGTGTGTGTGTGTGCATGAGAGTGTGAGCTTGTGTGAGCGTGGAAGAGAGAGGGGAGGAATAGGAGATCCTGCGCGGGGCGGGAGTGGTGCAGAGGAAACAAGACCCCCACTTTGGCTGTGGCAAACAAAACAAAGCATGTGCCAAGTGTGCCACCTGCTCCGTCCGCGCCAGGTGTGTCACGTGTGCCGCGCGAGCGCGCGGAGTGCGCCGGGTGCGGCCGCACACGTGACAACACGCACCGGGAAACGTAGCGGCCCCCACCAGCTTCTTTCAAAAGCCACTGAGTGACTAGTGGCGGCGGGGTGGCCCGCACAGTGGATGTCGCATGCGCCCGCACACACTCTTCGTTGGCTTTTGACAGGGCTGGCGGGCTCGCGCAAGCCACACAATATGCGAATATCCCCATCATCTCCGTCAAGCAACACTGCAGAAGGACCGGAGGGGTCGCCCGCGCACGGTCCATGATGGTGCCGCAGCGTTCACATTGCGCTTAGGCTTCTGACAGGGGCGTTGGACAATCCCCCGCCGCCCCTGTCAACACGCAGCACGAAGTGATCGCGGGGCGCCCGAACATGATCCGGATGTTGCCGCAAAGTGCATGTTTTGTAATCCCCAAGCAGTGCTTGCATCCAGGGGTTCTCATGGAGGTTTCTCAAGTAGCGGGATCATCCAACTATTGAAGGAAGCACACGAGGCGCCCACGAGGTTGCACGGGCGGCAACGCGGCGAAATCCTGGGGAAGCCATCATGGTTTCGTTGGGTTTTCGCGACGTTGCCGCCCGTGCTGCCTCGTGGGCGCCCCGTGCGTTGGGTAGGTTCCCCGAGGTTGCGCCACGTTGCCGTCCGTGCCGCTTCGTGGGCGCCTCGTGTGGTCGCCCCGTGCATTGGTTGGATTTCCCGATGTTGCGCCGCGTTGCCGCCCGTGCCGCCTCTTCGGCGCCTCGTGGGCGCCCCGTGCTCTGAGCTTACACGGAGCAGCTTTCACCACATAATTTGCACCACATTTACGCCACATAGCTCACACCGCATAGCTTACACCGCATAGCTTGCACATCATAGCTTGCATCACATAGCTTGCCCTTCATCGTTTACACCTCCAGCTCACACAGCATAGCTTCGACAACATAGCTTTTACCACATAACTTGCACAGCATATGTTTCACCTCCATAGATCACATCACGTAGCTTATGCGACATAGATGTCACCATATAGCTTGCACCGAATAGCGTTCACCTCCATCCTCCATAGTTTAACATTGCACTGCTTGGGGTCTACGCTGGCTAACATTGTTAAAACATGCGAGCCCCTTTCAAGGACGTGTAGTGTCCCCTTCTCTGAAGCTCATTCACTATCCTCTTCCTCCTTCCCTTGCCCCCCTCGCTGGTTTCGCGCGTGCCGCCTTTCACAGGCGCCCGCAATTTTCGCCCTGCTGTGCCAGTTCTAGGGAGCCTTCGAGAAGAGGCTCCCCTGCGCCGCAGCCCAGGGCTCGCGCTGCACCTGCGCCAAGAAGCCCGCCAGGCATCGCGAGTTGACTCCAGCACAGCTTCATGATCCGAGGATGACTTGCGATGCTCCGCAGCCCGAAGGAGCATCTGTTCTGAAAGGGAAGGCGGGGGAGGGGAATCGGCCTTGACTCTGGCTCGGGGCCGATCGAGTGAGGGAGGGGGCGCTTGTTAGCAGGGAGAAGCGATCAAACCCTCCCAGATGGGGAAGACGGGAGCTGGAAGAACACACGCTCTGAGCCACCTCCGCCCAGAGGGCTGGTGGAGCTTAACACTGGGTATTCCAGCGGAATGCCGCCTGACGTGAACACATTCTAGACCTATCCCTCGGGGGCTGCCTTCACTGCTCCCTGCTCCCTTGGGTGCTTCCAAATGTACTACGGTCGCTTGTCCAATGTATGCGGTGCAAGATGCGTGGTGTACGCTATGTGGTGCACTCTATATATGGTGCAAGCTATGTCGTGTATGGGCTGCGCGGCTGCGCGGTGCAAGATATGGGCTGCGCGTGTATGGGCTGCGCGGCTATGTCATGTATGGTGCAAGATATGTGGTGCGGGCTGCGCGGTGCAATACACAAGCATATACATATATAAGTACCGTGCATATATCTGTAAGGGCTTCGCCCCCATGCCGCCGGCCCCCCTCTCTTAGAATGGGACTTGCCAGAGCTGTGCTGGGATGTCTGGACGCTGACGTGAAGCAATGTCGGGACTTCGCGCGAGGGCCACTCTTAATTTACGAGGGTTTATGGCATCGGCGGCGCTATGAGGTAAGTTACGATGGTTTATGGCTTCGGGGACGCGAGTATGGTGTAATTTGCGACTGTCTGTGGCCTCGGGGACGCAACTATTGTATAATTTGCCAGGGTTTCTGACCTCGGGGGCGCAAACATTGTATACTTGATTTGAGTTTATGGCCTCGGGGACCCGAATCTTTGTATAATTTGCGCAGGTTTGCGGCCTCGGAAACGCAAGCATGGTGAAACGTAGCAGAATTTATGGTCCTGGGGACGCGCATACGGTGTAATGTTTAATGGTTTACGGCTTCGGGGGCGCGAACACTATGTAATTTACATGAGTTTATGCTCTCGGGGGCGCGAATACCGTGTAATGTACAAAGGTTTATGGCTTCGGGCACGCGTATGTCGTGTAATCTACGCGGGATTATGGCTTCGGGGACGCGAATATTGTAAGTATAATTCAACAGGGTTTATGGCCTCGGGGACGCGAATACGGCGTACTTTACAAGGGATCATGGCCTCGGGGACGCGAATATTATGTATTTCTACGTGTGCCACGCCCCCCAGGAATTCAGACAACGCGATCTGGGCGTGGTAAAAAAGCTGGTTTGGGGATCCCACCCTCGCGCGTTCAGCAGCAATTAACAGTAAGGAAGCAGAAAGCAGGACTGTAACAGTGGAAACTGGAAGCTGCAACTGGAACATGGAGCTGCAACCCTCACCCTCGCAGCCTGGTGGCCCCGCAAGGGGGCTGGCGGATATATACATGTACGTGGTGGTGTAAATTTTGCGGTGTGGGCTGTATTCTGTAAGCTATGTGATGCAAGTTGTGTGTTGAATGCTGTGCCCTGGGCTATGCTGCCGCCCAGCGCACGACGCGTCCACGGTCGGACAGGCGACACCTCGACACACCCACCCACCCATCGCACGAAGCCTGCGAGGCGCACCGGGCAAAACCCTCGGCACACCCACCCAGCGCACGAGGCGCCCACGAGGCGCCCCCGGGGCGGTTACCGGGCACAGCCCTCGGCACGCCCAGCCAGCGCAGGAGGCGGGCGAGCACCTGGCGAATCCTTGGCGTACCTACAGCGCACGAGGCGCCCACGAGGCGCCCACGAGGCGCCCACCAGCCTGGCGCCGGCCGACAACCATCCAATTCCTTAAGCGAGACAAGTAAGAACCCATAAGCGCAAGCATTGCCGGGGATATTCGCATATGCTTCCTCCCGCCCTCATGCTCCTCAGCACGATCATTGATGTTGCGTGCGTCGATGTCGTAACAGCCTCTCCCTCGCCTCCTGTTCCTCCCTCGCCTCCTGTTCTTCATGCTTGTGCTCCTGTGCGCATCGGTCCTCCTCCCCCCCCCTCCGCCCTCTCGTGCCCTTCCTCCTCCCTGGGCGTCCGCGCCTCCGTCGCGGGGCCGTTCACCAAAGGGCTCCCTAGGTAGAGGTAGCTTGGCAATCTACCATCGAGTCACCACCATCATGAGCGTAACCCCTGCGATCGGCCGGAGGAGGAGGAGGAGGAGGAGGAGGAGGAGGAGGAGGAGGGAGGAGGCGGAACGATGGAGGAGGAGGAGGAGGAGGAGGAAGGGAAGAGGAGGAGGAGGAAGATGAGGAGGAAGTACGAGGTAGTAGGATAGTAGGAGGTGATCGGAGGAGGAGGAGGAGGAGGAGGACCAGTGCAAACCCAGGACTCAGCAACGATGCTGGAATAAACTAAACCCTCCCTCCAAGCTTCCGCTCCACAGGCTTCTACAAGGATTCATTTCCACTGGGGGGCGTGTTCCATTTGGAGGCAACCCTTTTGAAGGTCCTGAAGCGTGCCCAAACACCATTCTCGGGACTTCAGCGCCACGAATCAACATGACTGCTGCGGATTGGCGATCCCGGATCGTGGCAGAACACCACTCCTGGGATTTTTGGCGCAGCAAATCAACGTGACTGTTGCACCGTGAGATTTCGTGGAACTCTTGCAAACGTTCAAAGCGAACGTGCGCGGCCCGCCCTCGATCCGTTCAACTCTTGCACATGCTTAAGACGAATATGCGCGGCGCTGAGGCGAGAGCCACCTCCGTCTGTGAAACGGTTGCCAATGTCTAAGCTTCAGGATCAGAAATGGTAAAGAAGCCTCATGCGAAACGCGCCGCCCGCCCTTCCGATTGGCCTCGGGGTGCGACAGAGGGGAGTTATATATAAGGAACAGGAATGGAGGAGGGGGATCTGGAGGAGCAGGACAAGAAAGTAGGAGCGGCTCAGGAGGGGGAGGAGGAGCAGAAGGATAATGAGGAGGAGAAGGAGGAATAGGAGGTAGGAGGAGATAGGAGGAAGAGGAGGAGCAGGAGGAGGAGGAGGAGGATGAAGAGGAGGAGGAGGCAGGTGAACGTAGGGGGAGGTAGGAGGAAACAGGAGGTAGGAAGAGGCAGGCGGAGGAGCAGGTACCAGGGGGAGGAGGACGAGGAGTAGTAGCAATACGAGGAGGAGGAGGAGGAGGAGGAGGAGGAGGAGGAGAAGCTAGGAGGAGGAGGAGGAGAAAGCGGAGGAGAAGGAGGAAAAAGAGGAGGTAACAGGAGGAGGATGAGGATGAGGATGAGGAGGAAGACCAGTGTAAGCCCAAGACGCATCAACGATGTTGCAATACACCCTCCCTTCAAGCTCCGTCTTCATAAGTCCCTACAACATGTATGCTCATTGCGGGGAGTGCCCCTTGGGAAGACAACGGCTTGGAAATCTTCCATCACGCCCAAACACCATTCCATGGATTTCAACACCGTGAATCAACATGACTGTTGCGTCGCGACAACCCTAAATCGCGCCAGAATGCCGTTCTTGCGACTTCAACACCGCGAGTCATTGTGCCAGAACTAGATTTTGGAGACCCAAATGCTACGATGCTTTGAGCATGCTGCATACATTATAAACGAATCACCGCGGCGGCACATCACTAGCGCGACTCCAATGGAAAGCGACTTAGGGGTTTTCCGGCCGCGCCGTCGTCGGCTCACTTTCGGCAGAGGGGACTAACGGGTCGGGCGGCCGCGCCGTCGTCAGAATTCCCAGCCCCTCCTCCTCGCTGCTATATCCCCGTCGTCGGATTTTCTGCCCCCCTCCAAAAACATTGCGCGCATGCAACAAGTGCATGAGATTATGCACGATAGCAGATGTTGTGCGCATGGGCTGGGTTGCGGGCGCGGCGGGGATACCCCCCTGCGCCCTTCGGAGCCTCTGGCGCCCGCATCAGACTGGTTTCTTCTGCACTACCTGTAGAGCTGGACGGTCCTCGACGCACCGACCAACCCACTTACCCCCCGCCTCCGCGAGCTGGAGATTGATGGGTTCGTATTGAAATCAAAAGTTCCTTCTCTAGCGGAAATCAATCAGATGTCGCGCTCGTCGTCCCGGAGTGCAGGGAGACGACTATCGTGTTTCATTTGTTCGGGAAATGCCGGTTGTAATGCCACGAAACATAGCGTTGCAAGGCCAAGAATAAGCTGTTGCACGTTTTGTAGTTCGGGTATTTTGATTTCATCGTCGTCGTCGTTTGCTTCACAGAGGGCTCTTTTTTAATTTCCATTCGCCGTCGTCGTTTTTCAGGTCTTCTCTGGTGTTCCCCAGGTGGCGGTCTTCAATTTTTTTGTGACCCTCTCTTAGTGGTGAGAGAGGTGTTTCCGTCACTTTTGCGACCCCCCTTGCATTTTTTCCCAGTGAGTCAACGTCGTCGGTTCTGACGGTTCTTGGGTTTGATATGAATGATTCCTCCGTGATGGCGCCACATCTTGAAAAAGGAACCGCTCTCCATCCTCGAAGCTGCTGCATATCAAAGCGAGTAACCGCGGCGCTGAGGCAAGAGCGACGTTTTGAAAAGGACCTGCTCTGTGAAGCTCTTGCGCACTTTTATGGCGAGTCTGGGCTGGGGCTGGGCGTCTCGCATGAGCCTCACCACGCATGATCCTGAAGCGGCCGCCCGACCCGTTAGTCCCCTCTGCCGAAAGTGAGCCGACGACAGCGCGGCCGGAAAACCCCAAAGTCGCTTTCTATTGGAGTCGCGCTAGTGATCCCCGCCCTACCGGCACGGCCTGGGTGTGCGACGGAGGGAGGAGGAAGAGGAGGAAGAGGAGGAAGTGGAGTAGGTGGAGAAGGACGAGGTGGAGAGAGGAGTGAGGAGGAGTGAGGAGGAGTGAGAAGGAGGAGGAGGAGGAGGAGGAGGAGGAGGAGGAGGAGGGAGAGGAGGAGAAGGAAGCAGTGGAGGAGGAGTAGGAGGAGAGACCAGGAGGAGGAGGAGGACGAGGAGGAGGAAGCAGAAGGGGGCAGGTCTGGGTCGGAAGGTGGGAGGCATCGCCGTTGCCAGGCCCTCCCCTCCCTCCTCCTCTCCTCCTCCTCCTCCTCCTCCTCCTCCTCCTCCACTCCTCCATCCTCCCTCATCCTCATCCTCATCCTCATTCTCTTCCTCCTCCGTGTGCTCTCCCTCCTTTTTTTTGCTCTCCCTCCTCCTCCTCCCTCCTCTTCCCTGCGCTTTCCCTCCTCCTCCCCCTCCTCCTCCCTCCTCCTCCTCCTCCTCCTCCTCCTCCTCCTTGTGCTACCCCTCCTCCTCCTGCTCTCCCTCCCCCCTCCGTCCTCCTCCCTCCTCCGACGCGGGGACCGCCGTCGCAACTGCTGCGCCCCTCCGGACCGCGACCGCCGGCGGCTCCGCAGGCGGCGCCAGTTCGACCACCTCCGCGGCAGCGGCTCGCGGACTGGGCTGGCGGCCAGCCCGATCTCGGTGGGCCGCGGCCTTTGTGATCGCCCTTCGGCTCCTCCTCCTACTCCTACTCCTCCTCCTCCTCCTCCTCTTTCTCCACCTCTCTCCTCCTCCTCCTCCCTCCTCTCCTCCCCTCCTCCTCCTCCTCCCTCTCCTCCTCCTCCTCCTCCTCCTCTCCTCCTCTCATCATCATCATCATCATCATCATCATCATCATCATCATCATCATCATCATCATCATCATCATCATCATCATCATCATCATCATCATTATCCCTCCCTCCCTCCCTCCCCTCCCTTCCTCTCCTCCCTACCCCCTCACTCTCTTCGCGATCCAAGATCCAAGAAGTCCGCGCGGACGTCCGAAATCATGTCCATGCTGGCGTCCCTTTGTCTGCTGCCCCCCACTTCCCTTCGCCTGTGTGTCCGCCTCCCTGCTCTTCCTCCCTCGCTGTGTCCGTCTCCCCCCTTCCTTCTCTTTCTCCTTCTCCTTCTCCTCCTCCTCCTCCTCCTCCTCCTCCTCCTCCTGTCATTGTGCTCGTCGCCTTCGTCCTCTCTGTCTTCACCGTCGTCGCTTTCTCGTCGTCGTGGTCGCCGCCTTCGGGCTGCCGCTGCCGCTCGCGGGAGGGCCCTGCTCCTGGTTCCCCACACAGGCTGGCAGCTGCGTGGTGCTTCGCCACGCGCCGAGCTCTGCCGGCTCCCTTACTGTAGCCCCCCCCCCCCTCGTGTATGGTTGCGATCGCCTACGCGTGCTCCGGGAGGCTGTCGGATCGGATCGGATCGGTCTGGCCTCCCCGAGGGCCCTCTCGCTTGAGGGTCCTATTGGTGCGGGCTCTCGGTGGGGCGGGTGGAGTTGGGGAGTTGTGGCCCCAGGGAGCTGGCTTTGGTCCGCGTCTTGGCCTCGGGTGATCTCTCTGAGTTCGCAGCGTGGCTGGTCCGTCGTGGCCCGGGCGGGGTCCTCTCCTCTCCGGACGCACAGCGACGGCTGGGGCTGGGTCGGGCTTGGGCATCCTGGCGTCGGCTTCCGCCCCGCGGTCGTACTGAAGAGACCGTGTCCGCGGACCCACAATCGATCCGCAAGGGTTCAACCGACCAACCAACCTCCCTCCCTCCCTCCCCCCCTTCCTCCTTCCCTCCCTCCCTCCCCCCTCCCTCCCTCCCTCCCTCCCTTCCGCCCTCCTTCCACGTGCGTTGCACAGACATTGGCGGGATGGCCGCTGCGTCTTTCCTCGTCCTCCTCCTTCTCCTCCTCCTCCTCCACCTTCTCCTTCTCCTTCTCCTCCTCCTTCTCCTCCTCCTCCTCCCCCTCCTCCTCCATCATCCTCCATCATCCTCCCTCCTCCCTCCCTTCCTCCTGCCGTGCGCATCTTCTTTGCCGCCCGCGGATCTTCTTTGCTCCCCCCCGGCCACACGCACTCCATCACGCTCATTCACGCGGCGCTCCTGAGGCAAGGCGGCGGGGGAGAAATAGTCGAAGCAGTCGTAGTAGTCTTAGTAGTCTTAGTAGTAGCAGTAGCAGCAGCAGCAGCAGCAGCAGCAGCAGCAGCAGTAGTAGTAGTAGTAGTAGTAGTAGTAGTAGTAGTAGTAGTAGTAGTAGTAGTAGTAGTAGTAGTAGTAGTAGTAGTAGCAGCAGTAGTTAGTAGGTAGTAGTAGTAGTAGTAGTAGTAGTAGTAGTAGTAGTAGTAGTAGTAGTAGTAGTAGTAGTAGTAGTAGTAGTAGTAGTAGTAGTAGTAGTAG